AGATCTTTAAACCAAGTTATGAAAGAAAGAAAATCTGAGCAAACTGGTCAAGACTCAGAAATAAAAAGACCAAAAGAAAACCAAAGATATTTGAAGGAAAGAAGAACCTACAGAAAAATATTTCTGAAAAAAATCTATAAAACAAGCTTCTAAAAAGAAGAAAGAAAATATAGAGCTGAGAAACTAAAGAAAAAGATTAAAAAAAGAATAGAAGAAGACTTTTAAGAGCCAGGTCTCTAATTAAAAAGAACAGGTTAAACTAGAAGAAGAAAAAAGGAAATGCAAGAATAAATGAAAGAATCCTGGCAATAACTCTTGATTGAAAAAAGAAATTAAATTATTTATTATTAAAAAATTAGATTTAAAACATTATTTTAAAAAGTAGAATAATTTAGAAAGAGAAAATTACCAACTAATTTTAATAAAAAATTTAAACCATCTTGTTAAAGTTTCACTAACTAGCTTGGTGCAGCCTTTCAATACAGGCAATAGTTGTAACCAATAAGACAAACCATACTTGAATGCTTATAAAGAAAGCCAAGTGATATTAGATCTATAGTTAAAATAGTTTAGAATATATCTGTATATTATATTTTGATTTAATAAAGATACTAGTGAGGCTGCTAATAAATAGAAAAAAAATAAAAGACTAAATCTAATTTATAGATAATATTAATATCTTGAATTTTTTTTTTTCGGTATTAAAGTAACCTCTTGGTCAAGTATGCTTTATTGATTTTGAATATCATTATACATATTTAGAGAATACATCTAGTCATATCTGTGTCTTTTAAGTACCTATTTAAGTAGTCTGCCCATTATTAGGTTCTACTCTAGTTGCTATATCTGCAACCTATTAGAGAGTTATCTATATAAACCCTCTGTACCTATATACTCTAAAGCCTATATCAATCGGCAACCATTCCTCTAATTCTATGAACTGGTCTCACTGGTGCATGTTTACATGATGATTTAGAACTTTAAAGTAAACCTCTATTACCTTTATAATCTACTTCTGGTTCTTTATTCTCGAGGTAAACCTGACAAAGCCTGCAATATTTCTACTTTATACCGCACCTAGCCTGTGCTTTAGTTTGGTATGTGCAGACTATAGTCTACTACTTGCAGCTAAGTTTGCCTATTCTAGAAGTGTATGATATTGGGTCGAGATCTTTGCTTACAGTTTTTCTTTCAGCTTAAACTTTCTTCTGCTTCCTTCTATAGTTTAACCCTAGTTTGGCTAAACTTCACTATCCAAACCTACTTCTGCTCTTGTAGAGTTCACTCAAACCCCAAAACTTATTTCACAGTATATCTCCAGTACTTTAGTAACCTAGCTTTCTTAACTCAGACTTCCAATCCAGATAGCCTGGTATGTAATTATTTATTTTTTTCTGATTCGATGATAGCCTAGTTGGTATTAGTGATTTTACCTATTTATCAATAGTAGGGTTACCTATTAGAATCCCAATACTCAAAATCCCAATACTCAAAATTCTAACACTCAAAATCCCAACACTCAAAATCCCAACATTATCAAAATCCCAACATTCAAAATCCCAATATATCAAAATCCCAATATTTAAAATCCCAATACTCAAAATCCCAATACTATCATAACTTTTAATATACTGAACCAATTTTGATGATTTAATTACCAAAATGATCTTCTTAGAGAGAGGATCATTTTGGTAGTTAAATCATCAAAATTGGTTTAGTATATCAAAAATTATGATAGTATTAGGATTTTGAGTATTGGGATTTTGAATATTAAGATTTTGATATATTAGAATTTTGAATGTTGGGATTTTGATAATGTTGAGATTTTGAATATTGGGATTTTGAGTATTGAGATTTTGAGTATTGGGATTCTGATAGATAACCGATAGCAGGAGCCCCAACTCTGGTTCTTGACTTCTAAGCTAGATGGTCTAGTAACCATGTACTTTTTCTCTGTATTTAGACAGGTACTCTGAAAGGTGGCTAGTAGATCTCCTATCATTGCCATAACTTGCCTGCAATTGCAGAGGCTCTCTAGCTAAATTCTTGGTTCTCTTTTCTATTTGCAACAGCCTGGTTAATATAGGCACAACCCTAATACCCTATATTTTATCCAGTTTAGTTTACATAAGTTCTGTTTTCTGGATCTAATCTTTACAGTAGCTCTGTCAAAGATCTGTACTACCTCTCTACTCGAAACTTGCTAAATGAGCTTCTGTATTTGCAATTTTTCAAATTTACATAGCCTAGAGGCTTATTTTGTGTTTGCACTGTCCTAATATTGGTTTGCATTTCTTTATGTAATATTATATTCATGAATACCCCAGATCTTCCAATTTTGCTGATATGACTATAGTTACAGATATTCTATCTCAACTAATCATTAAATATAGTTAGCCATAATACAAGCAAAATTTTTAAATTTTTATCACTGGTGAGATTCGAACTCTTGACCTGCCACTTGGAGGGGTAACAACTTGACTACTTCACTATGTCACTATACTTCTTGATATTTTGAATATTATATTTTAAAAAATTAACTAAGAAATAGTTAAATATATTAAGTAAAAATTGTTAGAACCTTAAAAATCTTGTATAAACTAAAATTTAAATCTTCCTACTTAACTTTTAGCCTTTATATCTAACTTTTATTTTAATATATAATTTATATAAGAGTACATTTATTCCTTACTCAGGGTGAGATCTCATACCCTAAATTTACCAATAAATTTGCAGAATTATATATAATATATATGTAATAAAACAAAAATTTTTTTAAAAAAACATGAATATCTCAAAATTCCGTCTATAAAACCATATTTTGAACTTTAAGTAAAAAATTCTTTGCTAAATTTTATATATTAGTCAACTAATTTGTCATATATTTTATATATACAGTGTTTTTTATATATAAAATTATAGCAAAAACATATAAAATTACATATAAACTTTGTTGCAATAATATTTTTTTGTTTATATATTAACTTTAAATTAAATTTTACAAATAAATATATCAAGAAAAGGTAAAAAAAACATATTTTAGACCGAATAAAAATATTGCAATTTTAATGCAATTTAAAAATATAACTTTGTTAAAAAAAAAATTTAGCAGATTTAAAGCAAGAATTATATATAAAATTATATTTTGAACAACTTCAGTCTAGGTAACCAAAAAGGTTATTTTAGTAAAAAAAACAAAAATTTTCTATATACTAATATCAAAATTTTCAGTTTTTTTATATAAAACTTTTTTTTTTTTTGCTTAAATACCCTGTTCTAACCTCTTAAGCAAATTTGTTCAGTACATAATTCTACATATTTTGTATTTTGCTAACTTTGTTTTTTTGAACTTTTTATTAAATGAAAGATTGGGTCAAAGGTTATACAAAAAAATTTTTTTTTAAAAAAATTTTTTAAAATTTTTTTTAAAAAATTTTTTTGTATAACTTTTGACCTAATTTTTCACTTAGTAAAAAGTTCAAAAAAACAAAATTAGCAAAATACAAAATATGTAGAATTATGTACTGAACAAATTTGCTTAAGAGGTCAAAACAGGTTATTTAAGCAAAAAAAAAGGTTTATATTAAAAAACTAAAAATTTTGACATTAGTACATAGAAATTTTTTTTTACTAAGATAATCTTTTTGGTTATCTAGACTGAAGTTATTCAGAATATAATTTTATATATAATTCTTGTTTTAAATCTGCTAAATTTTTTCTTTTAACAAAGTTATATTTTTAAATTGCATCAAAATTGCAATATTTTTATTCAGCCTAAAATATGTTTTTTTTACCTTTTCTTGATATATTTATTTGTAAAATTTAATTTAAAGTTAATATGTAAATGAAAAAATATTATCACAACAAAGTTTGGTGATGCTTGGTGATGCAGGGTAAGATCATTTGACTTTGTATCGGCAATCGGATTAATATATGAGCTTTAGTCATGTGATTTTGTCGTTCGTTAATTGGTTAAATAGGCCAGAGATATATAAGTTATATATCTCTGGCCAGAGATATCTAGAATTTTCCTAAGTTTATATATACAAAAATTTAGGTGTGATATACCATGTGACTGATATAATTTCTAACCCTAAGTATCAAAAATAGGTTTAAAAAGTAGATAAAAAATTTACCTGGATTATAAATAAATTATCTCTTTATATAATTATATTTTAGAATTTTACTAACTATAACTGGCAGTAATAATCACTGGTATCATATGACACATCAATTACTATAATGTTACATAAAAATTTTTAACCAAAATTTTTTAATATAGAATTTACTTGAATACAGTACTATGGCTTATAATAATTTATTAGCTATGCAAGACTATACATGGCCATATACTATTATATACAGTATAATTTGTATTGCTTTGCTTATACTCAGCAACACATAAAAGGTGAACAAAGCAAACTCTGTAATTATTTTGCTTCAGCTATTATCTTCACTTTGCTTATTTTTTCTAAATGTTCAATGTAATCTAATTTTAATTCTGAACTCTAACCCTAACCTAAATCTATTTTTCTTAGCTACTAAATTCTAACTACAATATCACAACTATAGATGTTGGTGAAACTGGTGAAACTCTTGGTAAATGGTGGTGAAACTGGTGAAATTTAATATAATAGCCAATCAAATTTTATATAGTCACCAGTTTCACCAGCATTATTTAGTTTCACCAGCATCTATAGTCATGACAATCAAAGTCCAATATAAATAGAACAATAAACAAAACACTAAACCTAGCTAATACAAACTTAGCACCAATGATGAAAGCATCTAGTAATATACTGAAAAAGGAAAACATAATGGCCACCTATCCTGAACTTAAAAAAAGTTAGTTCTACTCGAACATAGTATTGAAAGCAATAAAAAAAAACTTAGCTATACAGTTGTTACCAATGACGAAAGTGAATATATCAAACTTGATAACACCAGCGATGCAAGAAAAAAATACAAACTACTAAGTGAACCAAACCTACGATGCAAAAAAAAAGCACTAATCTACAAAAAATACCAAGCTAGACAATATTAACGAAAAGCACCAACTAGCAAAAAAAGTATTGAATCGGACGATATCAGCAAAGCAAGACCAACAATAAAAGAAGCACCAACTGGACAATGCTATCGATGCAAGAAAAAACACCAACTAGCGAAAAAAGTACCGAATAGGGCGAAGCAACAATTGGATGATACCAATGACGCAAGATACCAGTCTACTGAACAGGATGTACCAAATAGCGAAAAAAAAAGATACCAACTGATGAAAAGAGCATTGAACTAGACGATATTAACGACAAACCTACTACTCTAAAAGAAAATAAATATAAGTGTTAATATTGATAAAAAAATAACAAAAGCAAAAAATAAAAAAGTGAAAAAAATCAAATTACTTATCTTTTTATATCTATTTTGTATAACTAGTGATAATCACTGCTAGTGATTTAAAGTAAATACTTATATTTTAATTCAAAATTTTAATATAAAAATATAAAAAAAAGTAGCTATTAATAACTACTGGTATTCTTTAGATTGTAGTAAAAAGCAAACAAATTTGCTTGTATTTTTGCATATTTTTAGCTTGATTTATTTTTTTTAAAAACCAAAATAAATAAATAAAATTTTGTACAATATATTTAAAAATAAGAATTACTTTTTTGCAATATTTATTTTTAGATTATAAAAAAAAAATTTAGATTATTTATAAATCAAAAATATGCAATTTTAAAAATAATTTTTAAAACAAATCTTTTTATTTTATCTATAAAAAACTTTTTACAGTACTAGATAAAAGTTTTTCTATATCTATATCTGTTTACAAAGAGGTGCTATAGCCTTGAAACTTTCTAAAAATTTAGTAAATAGTTAATCTAGATTGTGTATTTTTTTTTGTAATTTTTTAATTACTAAAAAAATTTTAGATAAGAGCTAAAGTTTTGAATAATTTTTTTTATAAAAAATTAAAAAATTAATTGGATTTAATTAAAAATTAATAAAAAATTATGATCATTTTTAAAAATTCTAAATGTTTAGTATATTAAAATTTAATAATTTTTATAAATTTGATGAGATAGTTATTAAGAAATTAATTTTTAAAGTTTAAATTTTATTATCATCTTATTCTGTTTAAAAAAATTTGACACAAACAAGTTTTTATTAATTTTACTATATAATTTATTATAAATTATATAGTAAAATTAATAAAAATCTGTTTATGTCAAATTTTTTTAAACAAAATGAGATGACAATAAAATTTAAACTTTAAAAATTAATTTTTTAATAACTATCTCATTAAATTAAGTCAAATTTTTTGTTACTAGTATAAAAATCATTGAATTTTAATATACTAAATATTTAGAATTTTTAAACATAATTCTGATTTTTTATTAATTTTTAATTAAACCCAATTAATTTTAAATTTTTGTAAAAAAAATTATTCAAAACTTTAGCTTTTATTTAAAATTTTTTTTAGTGATTAAAAAATTATAAAAAAAATATACAATCTAGACTAACTATTTACTAAATTTTTGAAAAGTTTCAAGGCTATAACATCTCTCTGTAAGCAAATATAGATATGAGAAAACTTTTGTCTAATACTATAAATATTAATTTTAAATCTATAGTTTCTAATATAACTTTATAGTTTAAATAAAAGATTATAATTTTAATTGTTATAAATTATATAATTTACTTGTAAAAAATTAATTTTATTTTAAGAACAAAAATTTTTCTAGCTTAGGAAATATATAAAATTTTAAAAAACTTAAAAAAATTTTTAATAGTAAACTCTAATATTAGGCTATACAAAGTTAATTTTTTGGTTCTCATAACATAAAATTTGAAAAATAACCTGGCAACCTGGCTTTTAATTTTATTTTCAAAAAATTTATATATATATAAAACATATAAAAATTTTTATAAACTTCTAAAAAAACTTCACCCAAATAATAAATATAGTTAAAAATTTTTTTAAGGATTTTGCAAAATTTGATCTGGCCAGATTATGAGAACCAATTTATTAAGTTTGTATAGCCTTATACAAACTTTAAACTTTAAAATTTTTTAATAATTTTAAAAAATTTTCTTAATAAAATTAAATAGATTTTTAAATTTTTTTAATTAGAAAATATATTATTAAAATTAATATTTAAAATTTTATTAAAAAAATAGAGTTTAAAAAACAAATATAGACAAATTTGTTTATATTACAATCTAAATAATAAATATAATTTTTTTGATAAAAAATATTTTATAATCTAAAAAAATTATAATTAATTTATAAAACTTTATAAAAATATAACTTAAAAAATAGTTAGCTATTAAAAGATATAAGAATTAGAAATAATCTACTTGTCGATAGTAATGACAATATTTAGAGTCAGAAAGAGTTATAATATATAGTAAAGTTATACAAGAAATATATTTTGTTAAGACACAAAAGTTGATTTCATAGGCATAATTTTGAGTCATTTTGATTTGAAATTTTTGAGGGTTTTGAATCATGCAATCTGATTGTCACTACCAGTAATAAATAGATTCATTCTAAGAATTATATAAATATTATAGTAAAAATTAGCAGACATTACTTATAAATTTTAATAGTAGCTAAAATCTTAAAAGTTTTCTACTAGAGATACTATAAAAACTATTTTTTATTAAATAAACTTTCTTTGACCTTCTAATTAAATTTGTAGAAGAGGTCTTTATAGTTTTAATAATAGTAAAATCACTAATATTAATCTAATATACTATGAGATATTAATAATTTATATTTTATAATTATATAAAATTTTCTTTATAAATTAGTTTAGGCCACAGATAAATTAGTTTGAGTTTCTTTTTTTGCTATCTTAGGATATAAAATTTAAATAAATATTTTTCTTTGTAAAGATTTTTTTTTTATTGTAGAAAAATTAAATTAAATTTTAATAAAGTTAGAGATATGGTCTTACTATTAATATTCAAAATTTCTTTATAAATCAGCAAAAAAAATTTCATATTATCATAAAATATAAATCATTAATTTTTTTTTTAGTATTAAGATAAGGTCTTGCTTATATCTTTATTAGATATTTGTTAAGTAATTGCCTTATATAGCTATATATCTTATCTTAAGAATACAAATTTAGACTATTTTATCTATGACTTAAACCTACCAGAGTATATTATATTCCTACCACATATTAGATTATACCTGGATTTGGTATTTAGACTATTTTTAGCTACCCACCGTATTCACCTCATATCTCACCGTCAAGCCTTGGTTACTCTCAAATTGGTTTTTTTTAAAAAATCAGTTCTTTTTAGTTTTCTAATTTGGTATACCTGTTATTGGAATTTCTAGTATTGCTATACAGATAGCCTCTTATGTATATTTCTTAAGCCAGATATCTGCTGCTACTGCTAGACTACATGAGAAGCATTAGTATTATATGTTGGATCTAAGAACTTATTTAGTGTTTGTACTGTTCAATTTATGTGATACTCTTATTAAAGTGGTTATATTATATCTTCTGTTAGTTTGTATCTCTTTATACAGTATGAATACCCCAGACCCTCCTACTTACTACCCCAGATATACTAACTTCATATCTCAAGCCAGGCCCTGCTGCCATCACTAGTTTGCTATTTCCAGATCTTAATATTTTCTTAATTATCTAGTGTAATATATATTACCACCCTTTATATACTCTCTTATATAGTATGTTATCAGAACTCTTAGTCATGAGAACCTACTGAGTTGTATAGCAACTATAGCACTACACACTCTCAGTTGTTTGTGCTAGTATATTCTAACCTTTTTGTTATAGACTTCTATATAGATATGACCAGAGCTTCAAATTGGTACCTTTAGACCTACAGGGTAGCTAACTTTTTTTCTATGCCAAGTAGCCTTTTATGATCATTTTACTGATACCAGAGGTGCTTTTATTCTAGTTAAAGTATGATCCTTATCACAGACCATAATTGTGTATTACTGCTTCTTTCACTACTCTAGTTTTAGTAGTATTGTATCACCCTTTCAAGCAAGAACCCACTGCTATTAATATATTAAAACTTATATATACAATCAATTGATCATCCTTTCAAGCAAATACCCACAAGTTGGGTGTAGAGATGTTGGTATTGCCAAATATAAAAGTGATGGAATGTTGGTATTGCCTCTGAGTTATCTCAACCAGAAGACTAAAACATGTAATCTTCTACTTTCTAGACCTTCTGTAATACTGCTATCACAAGTAGTATTTGCACTTCACAACCTGGTCTTTTTCTGAAAACTTCTTATTCTGATTATATATACCACCAAAATAGGTTTTCAAAAAAACTCTATTTTGTCTCCATTAGATCAATTTGAAATTTTTTATATGCAAGAGCAAATCTAATTTAGGTAGTTATATTCTTTATAATTTCGGTTCTTCAAAAAAATGTCAAAAAATTTCATTTTTTAAGTAAAATAGGTCAAAAACAATTTTGTCTTCAAATTTTAATTTCATACCCTAAAATCTAAAATAATTTCATCAGCATGTATAATTCTGGTCTCATACTATACTTGGACTTTTTACAGGGCTTCGCATCTGATTTATATAGCTCCCATAGGTTACAGAGACAAATTTTATTAAAATTTGCCTCTAGCCTGACTCAAACCATTGACCTTGTCTGTAGAGTTTGAAAGCTTAATTGCTAAACTATAGAACTCAAACCTAATATAAATCATTAATATCTCATAACAAAAATTTTAAATCACATCTGTGGTGTTCAACACCAGTTATATGAAAATCTGTATAACATGTAGATTAAAATAATTTTTATTAAAATAAAATTAAATTTTGTTTAATATTAGGGTTAGGGTTAAGGCCTAGAATAGGGTATAGGTATAGCTTATACCAAAATTTTGTAAGAAATTTTTTTTGTTAGAGCCCCAAAGGTAGTTTTATAGATAAATTTTTGAGTTATGTCCATTTTTTAAAAATAAACAATAATTTTTGTATTATACCTGATCTTCACGTTATACTGCAGCTCATAGCAAAAATTATAGTGGTATTGAACACTAGTGATGTAATTTAACAATACTGTCTCATAATATACTAAAATAATTTTAATAATTTTACTATTATTAAAACTATAAAGATTTTTTTACAAATTTAATTAGAAGGTCAAAGAAAGTTTATTTAATAAAAAAATAGTTTTTATAAACTTCTATTAAAAAACTTTTAGGATTCTAACTATTATTAAAATTTATAAGTAATATTTACTAATTTTTACTATGAAATTTATATTCTTTAA